GCAGCGCGCAATCAAAACCCAAAGCTATTTATGAGCCGGCATTCTCATCACTTTCCATCTCTAGACCAGACAGTCTACATGTCTGGAGGCGCATTGTCATTTTCCCGCGTGCAGAAACAAAAAAGGCCCGCATTATACTTTGCCGAAACCCAATAGGCCGTGGCAAAAAGTTTGCGAATTTCGGCCGGGAAGCAGCGATGTGTTTGCGATAAAAGGAGCAACGAGCGAGCGAGAGTGGAATTAATCACGAAACATCAAGGTGCGCTCGCCGGGCCGGCTGGCTCGACTGCATCGCGCGAAATGTGGAAGGAGCCGCAGTCCTTACGGGGAGCGATTAACCTTGAAGAACGTCTCGCGTGGTATATCAAGTATCTCCGGCAGCAGCTCTGCTTTTATTGTCTGTTTTGCCCTGAAGTGGGCTCCGTACATGCTTGCGTACATAAAATAATACACACATACGTGGAGGAAGGAATTCGCGCGAAAGAAAACACAACAGCCGTCGGCCAGCCGGAGTGGAAATTGCGCTGGAAACCGTACAAGCGGATCGTTCGCTTACATATTCGTGCCAGTCAGTCGCAACTCGCCATTTTCAGCCCTCGGGTCGCCGAGTGCATCGGAACAACACGTGTTGTCCCGAAGCACGTGACCGTCCTGCAGCGGACCGCGGATGCCACCTTTCTCAGTTGGTCTGGCCGCCCCCGCGAAATGTGACGTGTCCAGTCATAACAAACGCTTCGCTTTTCCAGCTTGGAAATCAATTGTATTTCTGTATACTTTTCAACTTGACTGCGTAACTCGTTGGTTTTTTAGTTGCTTTTTACCGCCGTAAAATACGGTCACGTGACTTTTAATAGCTTCCACCGCCGAAAGGCAGCGATGAGAGCAGACTGCTTTTTTTAAAAATAGGGCAATATTGCGCCAGTCCTTGTCCTCCACGAGTAAATGGTACTTCATTTATTAGACTTTGCAGTCATTGAGACTGAACAGAAGCTGCAACATTGAATACATCAAAAATCCTTTTCAAATAATCAATCTCTTGCTTATCAATTTAGAAAAAGTGCAAATGACATTTTAATTAATAAATTTACATTGAAATAAAAAATTTATAAATAATTAATAAATTACTAAACACTAATTTAATTAAAATAAAGACAACTTTTCTTTTGCTAATCTTAATTGATTTTTTTTTTCATTGATTTAGATTTCAATTTATATCATCTCTATGCGTTGATGATATATTTTTATATTTAAATAATTAAACAACTATAACTGAGGGTTCTATCGTTGCTGAAAACTTTGTGAATGCTTCATAAATCGTAGTCCTTGACTTTTAATTTCCTAGACAATTACTGCGGTTTTTCTTTTTATTACAATCCAGCCAATAAATAAAAGCACCTCCCGTGCCAATTAAATCACTTCAGATTATCAAGATCACGCAGGAAACACAAACCAGCAACATTATTGTCCCATTCAGCAACATAATATTAAAAATTTATACGCTGGACGATGCACAAATTACGTTCGCGTCTAATTTTAACCCGTCCTTCAGATTATTCCCAAAGGCCAACGTTCACGTATATACGTGAGTATTTATTTCGAATTCACATGCGACGCGTATTGATTTTCTAGCGAAAAACGTGCCTCTGCCACCATGTACTGCACTACTACCGGATCAATTTGAGCCTCCGCAAGCCACGACCAGGCGAAAATACTCCCTGCCAGATCTCCGGGGAGGTTTTTAAATAAAATATAAACAGCCATATCTATGGAGTTTGGCCAAATCTGCGGAAAAATGAAGCTCTCGTCCTGTGGGATTTCGATTGGCTTGGCCAGAATTCCGAGTCGAAAGCGCAAAAGTTTGCATTATTTATACTGGCGGACGCGATTTCAATAATTCAGTGTGCTAATCGGCGAAAAAATTCGCCCACGTCATTACATTTCATGACTTGCTAATCGCCAATTTGAATAAGACTATTTGTTTCGCCACATGTACATGGAAGACGCGCGACCACTCGGTTTTACAGCCGTTTCATGCAAATGCTTGATTGCTCATTTGCCAGCTCTCGTTTCTCTTTTTGCGAGCGCGGCAGGGAGTTGGCTGATAAAGTTCACTAGCTGCGACCTGAAAGAAGCCAATCGGAAAGAGAAAACCATAAAAATGCCTTTCCGTCCCAAAGCTTCCTGCTGGGACCTTTTTGCGTCGTGTGACCAAAAGGTGTTCACTGCAACAATTAGCTGCCCGTTAATGATAAACTTTGCTAGAGGAATTCCAAGAAAATAATGCCAAAGTATTCAATTAATAGAAATTTTACATTCAATTTAATTGATTGTTGTAAAAATTTGTTTTTAATTCTACTATATTGAACTAAAAATAAAATCAGAACATATAAAGTAATTAACATCAAAATCATTAAAGAATTTACAATAATTTTAAACTTTTTAGTTGAAATCTGATGCTTTCGTGTTGTAGAATCTGGCGATTGAAATTTTTATGAGGCTCATCTTTTAGATGGGTTCAAAGTCCTGACCTGAAATCGGGTCATTTCGACCCTCTCTCAAAAATCCTAATTCACCTTGACAGATTTCCTCTCGCGAGGGGACACTCGAATTACAGTTTCCTGCTGTGCGTGCGTGTGTGTGCGCCTTGATCAGAATGGAGCGAGAATATATATTGTATCGGAGAGATTCGCTCTCTTTTTCTCTCACCCTGACTGACAGGAGGCCCGCCAGGGTTACAGATTGTGTTTCTTAACCAGTGATCGGGTTTCAGTGGCTGCTGAAAAGAGAGAAAAATGATAAAAAGCAGCGCACAACATAAACGAGGGCATGAAAAATTATATTCATTTTTTGTCTCAATTTGAAAAAGGCGCAAAAGAGAGTGCGGGCGCGATGGAGTCAATGCGGTTTGTCGCCTCACCACTTCCCCTTCCGGTTCACATTAGGACAAAATGCAATAACATAGACGAGCGGAGGGTTCGTTTCTTCTTCTTTCCTCGCCTTGCCCAACGCGGCTCACTTGGCACAGGCATTACGTAAAGCGCTCATTTTTCCGCAATTAGCTGTTGATGGGCGACGAAAATAGAAAAAAAAGAAGGTGGGGTGCGCTGCAGTGCTTGCTTGTCAAAAAATAGATCGACAAGTGATGAGAAATGCCGCTAATTTAAATTTGACTGCGGACAAGTTGCTAGTTACAGCTTTTGACACCTTAATTGTTTTTATTTTACGTTATTTACATGCAAATATTTCATATTTCTCCTCAAACTTTTTTTCCAAACGAAATATTTTTCAAATTATTATCGCCGTCATTTTTTGTTTATTTAAAATTAATTTCTGATTTTATCATTTTGGAAAATACATTTTTTATTTCATTAAGTAGGCCGTTTTTTATGTCCTGGGATTTCCGTACTTCAAATTTGTCACGCAGGTTTTCTCGTCGTTGACGTTTAATTCACCCGTTCGTAATTTCTCATTTCGCTTTTTCGTGCCACCAAGTTTTTCCACAATTTCAGTATCGCACGCCATCAACGCAAGCAGACAGTCCCGAGCCATTCGGCGGCGGCGGTGGTGGCGTTTAGTAGTAAAAGCCATGGGGGATTTTCGAGCCGTCTCCCAGCACTGGTCACGTGACCTCAGAGTGTAAATCGGGAGCACATCGAGAGAGCAGCGCGCACACAATAATATATGCAATTAAGTTACAGGATGGAGATAAAAAAAAGGCAAGCTCTGTTGTCTCACGTCTTTGTAACGATCCACGTTATCGCCCGAATGGAAACGGTGACTTTTCCAACTATCAAATTCATCTTCTATTCCAGGGGTGCAATGCAACCCCAGACGGAATCCGATTCGATTTCAATCTGAAATTTGTCTTGAAATTTAAGTCGCGACGCGCAGCATCAAAAATGCGGGGTTGGTGCGCTGGCTATTTTGGTCCGGCCAGTTTTTCAGATGCATTTTGTTTACGAAGCAGTAGGAAGCGCTTGACTTAAGAAATTATTTGGTCTGCCTTTAATTCAGTCGCCGTTATTGTCCCTAATTTTTTCCCTCAAAATAATTTCTTCATTTCCCTTAAAATCAAAACCCCTAAATTTTTTCTTGCATTTCCCCTAAATGGCAAAGTTCCTAAAATTATGTTCCCTAAATTGAAGATTATGAATTTTTTGACCACCACCTAGGAAGGTAGGCTTAATTTTTGAAGTAGTCTTCTGCCTTATATGAGCCCTAAACTTCATAATTTTCTGAATATGGACTTTATAAAAATCATTGTAAGTTTTGAATTGTATTTTTACTTAAAATATTATCTGTGAATGATGGAGCTGGCAACCAACAATTTTTGCATAAGGAAACACAGCCCTGAATCCTTCCTTCTCTTGCGGTTTAGGGGCAATGAAGTTAAGGGAATAAAATTGGTGCAATAAGGGGCTCCCCTTTAATTAAAGACGCAAGTCACGCTGTGCTAAAACGCTAAAAAGTGAGAAGCGGCCAAGGGAAAGATTGAGAGAAAGAAAGAAAGACAGCCTTGGACGGATTCTATTCATATTATTTGCGAATCAATGCGACTGAAAAGCATAGAAATAGCGCCAGCCGATTTTATCTCTCAAGAGAGCGCGGTGCCTCTCAAACAAAGGAGGCCTAACTATTCATTTGGTTTCGGAGAACCGGCAAATCGTGTTTGTTGGAGAATCTCTTGCACAAGTTGAGGGAAATAAATATAAATAAAAGATGTACAATAGTCTAAATGTAGGAGGACCTGGTGAGCTAGAGGAAATAATAATAAAAAAAATTAATATAACAATATAAGAAAGCATAAAAAAATATTGATATTTTCTAATATCCCTGTGGTTTTCGAATTTTGCAATTAAATTTACAACTGAAAGTTAAGAATTGGAATGAATCCAAGCGCCACTCGTGTCCCATTAAAATTTTTCCGATCGGAGCCAAAGATAAAACCCACGCGATCTGATGGTTCTTTGTGTCTAATTCTCGGCTTCTTGTGTTTGCAGGCTGCAAAATCAAGGCGCTGCGTGCTAAGACCAACACGTACATCAAGACGCCGGTGCGCGGTGAGGAGCCCGTGTTCGTGGTGACCGGCCGCAAGGAGGACGTGACCAAGGCCAAGCGCGAGATCCTGTCGGCGGCCGAGCACTTCTCGCAGATCCGCGCCAGCCGCAAGTCGAGCACACTGGCCAACCTGACGGCGACGGCCGGCGGCGCCACGCTTGCCGCGGCGCCCAACAGCATGCCCGGCCACGTGACCATCCAGGTGCGCGTGCCCTACCGGGTGGTGGGCCTGGTGGTGGGGCCCAAGGGGGCCACCATCAAGCGCATCCAGCACCAGACGCACACCTACATCGTGACGCCGTCGCGCGACAAGGAGCCCGTCTTCGAGGTCACCGGCCTTCCGGAGAGCGTCGAGGCCGCGCGTCGCGAGATCGAGGCGCACATTGCCATGCGGACGGGCGCCGGCGGCGGCCTGTTGGACGGCTCGGACACCTCGCCCCCCTCCAACGACGACGACCTCTTCTCCAGCTTCCTCAAGAACGGACTGAACGCGCTGGCGACCCGCTTTGCTGACGCCGCGCCGGCCCCGCCGCCGGCGCCGACGCCCTTCTTCCACGCCGACACCTCTGCGGCGCCGTTCTCCTCCTGCTCCAGCTCCAGCTCGACCTCCTCGACGTCCCGGCTGGCCGAGCTGACCGGCTCCATCTGGAGTGGAAGCCACGACGAGGGGCTCGGCGAGTCGCCCTCCCTGGACAGCGCCGCCTCCATCTGGAGCGACGTCAAGTTGGCGCCCCTGATGGGCGGCGGTGGGCCCCAGCACGTCTTGGAGCACCTGCCCGCGCGGAGGGTGTCCTCGGACCCGCTGGCCCTGTCCGCCTCGCCGACCGACTCGATGGGCTCGTTGTCCTCGGGCGGCGCTCGGCGCGAGTGCACCGTGTGCGGGGACAAGGAGATCGCGGCCGCGCTCGTGCCGTGCGGCCACAACCTCTTCTGCTTCGACTGCGCCGAGCGGGTCAGCGAGCAGCCTGCGCAGTGTCCCGCTTGCCAGCAGCCAGTGCTGCAGGCCATCCGCATCTTCTCGTAAACACAACGAACGGCACCAGCCCGACGACGGACCGCCCAAAGCAAGCAAACCCCTCTTCTCACACTCTCATGACAACCGACCGACACTTGTTCGTTCGTTTGAGATGCTGATTAGTAACTATCGATGATGATGATGAAAGATTGATTTTTTACTACGCTTTTTAATTGTGGATTTATATATAATTATTATTATTGATTGATTGATTATTGATTATCTTTGCTACGATTATTAATTCTATATGATTATTATATAATTATACAAAATAAGTTGAATTACTCTCCTCTTGTATGTTCGTAAGACAAATTCAGTAAGTTCAACAAAGCAGTTTTCTGTATTTTTGCCACAGACAGACACTCTTTATAATACTTACTAAGATTATACCGTATATATTGAATTGAGAAAGTATTATTACCAGACGACTTGATGTTGATTTTTGACGCGCGAATCTTTGAGAGTATTATTAATTCGGTTGATTGGAGATGATAAATAATTATTTAGAAATGAAGATGAAAAATTTAGAACCTGCGCAGATGATGTTTTTTATGTTATTGGCCTGTTGTTTATATCAATTCGTTGAAACTGCTTCTGCACATACACAAATTAATGATCAATGAATGATTTCTCGCCAAAAGACTGTGTCGCGCGCCGCGCCGCTGACTCTTGCGGGGTGCGAGCCACCCCCCGAGCGAAAGCAGCCCCTCGGCCGGCCGGCCGGACGGACACACTCGCTAGTAAGTGATCCCCTCTCTCCGTAGCTGACCTGATCCGAAAATATTAATAAAATCTCACAAAGAACACACATCTCAATAAGGAAAATTTGGTAATTTAAAAAAAAAATACACCCTTGAGCTAAGACTATAGAGCAGTATTATCATTATCTCTATCGCATTCTATTGATTGGTTTTCGATGATAGAACAAATTTTAACATCGGAATGTTACGATTCTCTCCAAGTAGAAACAAAATGTACATATTTTCATTGACTCTATATTGATTCTCTCGATATTTTAAAAATGGAAATATATTAGAGCAAAAACACAATACAACAGTATATAAATCAAATTCGACCACAGAAGTTTGCGCCACCTATCTCTGTATCTCTATTTAATCTATACTCTATCTCTACCAATATCTATAATGTCAGATGATCCCCGTAGCGATTCTCCTCCCTCCCGGAACACATTTGAACGAACCAAACTAGAACGCAGCATTCAGGGCTGTGATTCCACGTAACTGCCATTTGGGGGGCTACCTTTGGTTCTTTACAAAAAAAAAAAGAGAATAAAGTAAAACAAAATCGGTGAGCGAAAGTATCGAAAGAAAGAGAGCTAGAACGAAAGTTAAAATGCGATTAACGATATTTTTGCGTACGTATATATGTGTGCATGTGCAAACAAAATAATGCGGACATATATAGAAAACAAATTATATATTTTGAAAGTCTCTTGGCGCATGAAACTTAAAACGATGAAGAAATCTAGCTGAAAACCAAAACACACACTCACACAGAAGATACGATGACTTTGAAATAATAAATTATTGCATATATGATAGAGTAATAAACATAATTGCAGGGAAGTATTGATATAATTAATTGAAAAAAAAAGAAATAAGAGAGAAAAACCACTCACACACACAAACACACAATACACACACTTGTATTGAAGTCATACGGATTCTGGAGTAAAAATAATTAAATATGCCATTCCTCTCGTTATTTATGATACAACATTAGCATAACTTAAGGCAAATTAAAACATATCCCTTGTTAGCTAGGAGAAAAGATAATAAAAATAAGAATAAAAGAAAAATAAAAAGAAGTTTGATGATGATGAGATGATGATTTGTTATATTGGTGAATGCCGAAAAATTAATTAATTGATGAGATGCAAGTTTATCAACTATTTATTCTGTTTTTTGTGATATATAAATTTACGTAGCCATAAGTGAGTATTGATTGACACATTATTTTCACAAATTGATTAATCAGCCAATTGGAAACGGGCAAGAAATAATAACTAATAATGAAATACCCTCGTCATCAATCAATCTATTAACCATTTTATGATTTCACAAGTTTGCTTCTACTTTTTTTGTGTATTTTATGAGAAGAGATAATACCAAATACAGTCAGCTAATTTATTAATTTATTTTTTGTCACTATTATTATTTTTATTGCGACGATTGTTTGTGAGACACACGCGTACACACAACATACACACACATGTAAATTGAAGACACACACACACACACATTTCTCACCTTCACGCGTACACTTTTCTGCAAAAATGTGCAAACAACAGCATGGCCGCCTGGAGGCATCTCCTTATAAAGCGCCTGCCTCCCCTGAGTAATGACAGACAGACAGTGTTTACTATATGTATTTTGCGACTTCTATTTACATGGAAACGTTGAGAAAAACTTGGAAAAAAAGAGTATCTAATTATTATGAATATATGCCGCTGCCGTATTTTTTGTTTTTTGATTATTGTTTGTGTTCATGATCATTGTTATTGCTCAATGAGGATTATTCGGTGCAACAAACTTGCAATAAGATATGAACTAACCGTAAATACTCCTCGAATCTCATAGGATCGTAATGGAAAGCTGCTTTTTTGTCTCTCATAGTACGTCTCTAATAATATATTATATATGGATGGAAAAAAATGAAGAAATACTTTAACCTTTGGAAGATTTCTAAAATGCGATTGAGGAAAAGAGATGGATCGTAACAAAAAGAATGTCATTTTAGTGTGTGCCACAGCGGCTAATCAAGCTGACTCTCAATTCGGCTAGCCGCATCGTGCCTATTTCTCGTCGAGCAGAATATTTTATTACTTTTGTGTGCTAATATAAATGACGAAACTCAAAAGTAATAAGGATAAAAAAGCAACCCTTTATATTTTTTTCTATGATAATGATGATAAAAATGTATTTTTTATTTTTTACACATTGAAGATCTAAATAATAAAGGTATATAATTAAGGTATGCATATATATGTGTGTTTTTCCAACAACTGATTGTGTATGATGAAATGAAAGAAGAAGAAAACAAACAAAACCAACCAAAAACCAAGTGGTATTTAAGCAGTTTTTTAACGAGACCAGCGGAAAGATTATAATATGTCTCCCACCTTAAGTTTGCACAACGTTTATAAAGAGTGAAACAAAAACATTTAATAATAAATATAAAATACCTTGATGAAAATGAGATTTTACGAAGAAAAAATGACAAAAATCTAGAGTTGAAGTTAGTTTTTCTATTTTAAAATATGATACATATTTATGCAATAGTCCGGCGGCGGCGATCGGTGGCCGGCCGCGCCCCCCACGCCCCCGCCGGCCCCCTATGAAATGAAGAAAATCTAATAATTGCTAATCGCAGATGATTGTAGTTCTTTATTAATGGATAAATAAATAGAAATAAAAAAAAACTTGTAACTTGTAAGTCTGTTATTTTAATATCTTCTCTCTTTGAATTTTGCCCTGTAATTTATTATTATCAATCTATACCATATAAGAGGAACAGAATGAAGTAAAAAGTTGAAAAAAGTCTCAGTGCGAGTGGGGGCCAAGGCGCGGCGCAAAAGGGGGCTCGGTCACCCCTTGCGCGCTCAGCCACCCCCGCCGCAAGGGAAAAAATCGATGAAAAGATTCTCATTTCTATTGTGTGTTTGTAAAGTAAAATGCAAGCGAGTCGTTTGTTTCTCACCATACGCTGTATGAACAAAAATCCAATGTTGCTGAGGAGAATGTCTTAAAATCATCTCCCACGTGTTTCTGGTCTGTTGATGCGTGCGTGCCTGCCTGTGAATGTTGGTCAGAAAATTTCCGGAGAATTTTTCGAGTCGTTTCTCGAGGCCTAAGCGCATTCCTGCAAATACTATGAGACAGGCCAAAGAGAAGAAAAGTGTCGCTTTTCGCTGCTGCTTTCCTTGCAAAATAAAAAGAACGAATGACATTCGCAAAAACGGCACTTCGGGCGGGCGTTTGTCTTTTCAAAAAAGCCGCCCGTCTTCTTGGCCGCGATTTGTTTCCCAATCAGAATACGTTTTTGTAAAACACAGCAACAATAATTACTCTAGAGCTGTAATCAATGGAGCTTCTTTTTGTTTGGTAGTCTGGCCATTTGATATAATATAGTAGAAAGGATAAAACGTATTGAGCGCGGTAATTAAATTACCGCAGCGCGCTGCCCGGAGCTGAATTCGCTCGGACGACTCCTGGTCTATATAATAAATAATGTAGAAATTAAAAGTTTCTCACTATTCTCTGCTTTTCCGATCGCCAAACGAACCAAGTCTGCCAAACAAACGGGCCTAACGAGAGTCGGCCGGCGAATTTTGCGACTGGGCACGCGTCCATTCCTCCCATTTTTTGATAATAATATAAATCGTGCTTTGTAATTATATAAACACGGCGCCATTTTTCGACGACAAGAAATTTCCAAAAAAGTATCGCATTGTCTCTCTATCTCTCTCTTTCTCACACACACGCATACATATAGCAATACAATCACTCATAAAATATGATCAAATATTAATTATCTCTTAAAAAGTTGTATTAAAATCGAGTAATTTGTAAGATTAAAAACACACGCAGACGTAGCAAGGGTATTTAAAAGTATATTATATATATTGAGAGAAATAATAAAAATTGCTTGTGGAAATTTGAAACCGCGGCAGCCGTAATGTGAGTTAAGGAAGGAAATTCTAGACAAGGGTTTGAAGTGCTTAAGCGACGCATTGCGCAAATAAATACACGTTGAATTATATATTATATATTGATGAGCAAAAAATTATCATTTTCACTGAAATGCAGGTATCCAAGTATTATATTATATAATTACCGAAATATTTATTGAAATAATTGTAAGAGATGAAAAACTCTCAGACGAGTCCTGAATTGGACTTAGCTCCCGAATTCCAGACATATGCAAATTTAAAAGACTTACACACAAAAACTGAGGAAGAGAATCGAGCGCAAAATTGAGATATATTTATTGAGTTTGAGCAATTTGCTATTTTTCCACAAACGGGAATTTGCAAACGTGTGAATGAGAGTGTTTCGTTTGTGAATTTGTAAACTTTTTTTGTTTCCCGCCTCAATCCACTCTGATGTGCAACATTCCCTTTTTTCCGGAGAAAACCCAATTAAGATTTTGCTGTCCTGAAAAACTCTTTCGTAACGAAACAGGAGGGTTGAAAATGTTGAAGCAAAAAACACGTGACATGCACCTCAAGAGTATTTTTCTCGACACTTCTCGATATTATATAGAAAATCAATTCCCCGTGTTTGTTGTTTGATGAATTTATACTACTACTACTACTACATAAATTTAACATATATATTGAAAAGGATTGTAGACGTTTTTAATATCGATTCATATATTTTCTCATAATTTTTCTATAACTCTAGCTGTAATTCATGTAACTTTGTTGTTCTCAGAAAATATTGCATTGCAAACAAATTGCTGGAAATTAAAAAAAGGGTTGGAACAAGTTCCAGGCATTTGATTAATATAACTTGGAATAACTTGAAATCAACTTGGAAAAATAATCGAAAGATCTACTATTGTCCTCCAAAGAATCGAAATTCACTTGAAAGACTTAAAACGAAAGTAATAAGAGAAGCTAATTTTGCAATTTGATACAATTCCTCTTTACCAAGGCTGCTAAATTTGAGACGCAAGAAGCTAGAAGTGACGGTTAAGAACTCATGCTCTGGATCCGTATTTAAAGAAAAATAACTCCAAACCTGACGTTCGAAAATCGTGTAAAATTGCTCCAAAATTTTGAAAGTGTATTTCTTGTGTTGCATGGTTGGATGTTTATTAGTGTATTCAATTGTGATAAAGGAAAATCATGTTTTTTGGACGAGAAAAAATTTTGGAAACAAAAAAAAATAACACTCACACACACAGACACCTAATTAAGTAATGAATTAATTGAACCAGTCTACTTGCTCAACGCCATACCTCCCAAAACCCCTACAACATATTATAAATAATATTCGTTAGACGTCCTGCCAAGTGATAAAAACCAAAGCGTTACACTCCCACAAAATTATACCAATAAATGCACAACCGGATCGCGCAAGTCGGTTTAAATAATTAATCTAATTTTAACTTGAAAAAAATATGACAAATCCTCCTTTTCAAGCACGGCAATTAAATTTTATTATTTTTCTACACCTGCAAAAGCAACCGTTTAATAATTAATATTATTTTTTATATCTACTGAAAAGCCTGCTGGATGTATAAAGAAGTGCCGTCTTTTTCTAAATAATGACTCGCAACCCCTTTGGATACTTATTATTTTTTCCACCCTCCCTGTCAGCATGCACGCAAACCACTCTCGCCCCCTATCCGTTATTTTAGCCGGTGGTGCGTCATTCGTCTCTTTTTTTCCGATTCTCCCCACAGCTGGATAAAAATCGCTCAAAATAAATAATACTCTTTGAACACTGCACCCCCTAAAGTCAACGACCTTCGACCGCTTTGACCCCATTTTTGAGTATGGAATTTCCAAAATTCCAGTCAATATTTTCTATCCTAAAAGCTTGCAATAATGAAAGGCACTCTTCATCTTTTATCAAAAAAGTCTTTTTCTGCTAAAATTCCTTCACCAACTTTGATGGGAAAACTTTTTAGTGATTCGATGGAACAAGTAAAAATTCTGCACTTAACTGAAGGAGGGTTTTCGCGAATTTCTGAGCTAAAACGCAAAACTAAAGCAAGAGCAACTAAAAACCAAAATATCTAAATCTTGAAAAACACCTTTCGGCCTGCTAGCAAACAATGAACCAAAAAGTGCCAAGTTTTTTGCAAAACCACAACAAAAGGGTAGCGACATAAGCCAAAAACTCTCTGTCTAGTGAAAGAAGAAAAACATTAGTAAGGCCTGGTGCCTTCGAAAACGTTCATCGAATTTCCATCAAATCACGCGACATGAAAACCCCCGAATTTCCCACGGCAGAGCTTTTAGTTTTGATAGGAGTTCTAATTATTGACTGCTGCATCGAAATTTTCTATCAATTTGCTATCATCACAATAAACAACAGCAACTCAAAGGGGAGCTTTATTTGCGTGTCTGAGTGAGTGCGTAACATAAATTAAATATATATTTATCTTCAATGAAAAATCCAAAAATAATAATGGGAAAATTATGTATATTTATTAGAGAGAATTTTAAATACTGTGTGTGTTTCCACGTAATAAATTTTTCAGTGTGATTGTGCGTAAGATAATCTCGATCCTGCATATTTATCACCGTGAAAAGAAATTTAATTACAAACCCAGCAGCAAAAAAAAAAAATGCAAATTCGAGAGACATAAATTTACATATGGTGGGCTTCTTATTGAAATGATTGTTGTAGTTTTCCCTTTTTTTATTGGAACTATGCGTTGATCAATTTAATCGAATCAAGCTTAGCAAGTATCCAGGAAGTGGCACTTAAATAACCAGCAGTGGAAAGCACTTGATACAAAAGTTATTTGGATGACAATGAGTGTTACCTCATAGCACTGCCATACATTTATGTACATTTAAAATAATAGAGACACAGAAAGAGAACTAATTTAAAACTAAAATCTAAGACAGAGAAAGGAATTTTTAAACGCAGAGAAACTTACTGGAACACTTGTTTGTATGGAAAAAACGAAATCAGCGCCTGCTTCGGATGATTTTTGCTCAGCACCCGTTTGTTTGTTCATTCATTTGTTTGTTGTAATTTAAACGAAAAAAAATTGTGGCTCTGCTGCTTCCCTTGGTGGACGCGAGAGCAAAAGCACCACACATTTTTTTGTATTTTTGTTAAAGGAAAATTTTTAACATACGAGTTTTTATATATTTTGTATTACGTTCGTTGTCGCATATACGTTTTGAAAATTTGTGTTACACGAAAAGTGATGCTCATGTGTGCGACGAGAGAATTCAAATCGCTCGGAACGAGTGTGAGCATCGGAACAAAAATGAGAATTTTTGGAGTCTAATTACAGACTGAGAGTTTTTTCATGTTTGTCCACTGATTGTAAAACGAGAGAAAATTATAAATTGTAAGGCAGAGGAATAGATCAATGATTATGAGATTAATGTCAATATTCTTTCATATAATAAAACAGTTCAAAATATACTCAGCAAAAACCTATTTGTATTCTTCCAAGTCCCCCCACCTCACACGAAATAATAATAGTAATAATAATAAATAGTAAATGAAAATTGAAGGAAAGTAATTGATTTTTTTTTACTTCATGAATTAATAAAAAATAACTATATTATAAGCAAAAGAGTGAAATGTAGATCTAAGATGATTATTTATATTGTCCTTTATTTAAGTACTGAAATAGATCCAAGGACTTTTATACTTGATTTCCTTGTTTTATTAAAAATCAAGATAATGAAAAAACTATTTAATGACATCAAACTAGTTTTTATTCAATCAGAACAAAATGATGTATTTTTATGGGGCGAAAGAGCAACATTTATACTATATGGAGCACTTTATAGTATAAAAAAATTAATTTTTCCCATGATGGCTTTAGATTTTTTGAAGTTATATCACGAAAATCAAATATTTTTAAGCATGTGTAGTAGAATTTATTTTAATAAGCACAATTTGCGACTTCCCCCGTTTAAACCATAAAGAAATCAGCTTTGAAGCTTCAAAAGGAAGTGAAAAAAATTGGCTGAGCCGAAAGGAAAACTGCAAGGAACAGATCAGAGGAAATATATAATGCAGCGCAACATTCCCTTCCTGTTGCTGCAGATTTAAAAGGCCCGCTGGATGCGCACGTATATGAATCTGTGGAACCAACAAAGCCATTTACGCCAACAATGGACGAAGAAAAAAGATCATTGAGCGCATTTCATTCAGCTCATTGAGGTATAGATAGGAAAACTCGCGCACAGCCGCCGTGTCGCCGCGGGCCAAACAACATCCGAACGAAATCTTCTTGTGTGCCATTGAAAATCAACAAAAGTAGCCGCACCGAGTGTGCCCGACTGAAATCTTGAAGACGCAAGCGAGATTTATATAAAATATCGAGACGAGAGCAGCAGGGCCGCACAATCATAGCATAATGCGAGCCGAACACCTTTTTACCTGGCGCGCAGCAAAAAGAGAGGAAGCACGCCGCATGTGCCCAGCTTCGGCTCTCGCGGGAAGAGCAGCTGCCGTCGAGAAAAAAACGCGAGGCCTTGTCTCTTCCGAAGACGTTAGCACGCGGCAAGCAGATGGCGATTTCATTTTAATAATATCGAAGAGACCATAGGCAGGCAGTCAGTCAAAAGAGCCCTCCGAGTTTTTATTTATAATCGACTATCTTGGTAACGGAGAAGAGATCATTCACTACCTTCGGGGTGCACGTGGCGAATCACAGAATTGAGGCGCAAAAATATAAATCAAATAATTAAGAAAAATTGCTCTTTACTACGAAAAACTATTTATTATATTTTTACTTCATAATCACTAACAATAAGGCATTCAAATTTTTAAATAATACAAAATAATGAAAAAAAGCTGAACAAAATAATTATTGCAGCTTTTTGATTAGGTCACAGTAAGCATAATTAACCGCCAATATTATTACCCAAAGTTAATTTTTGATAAAAAAATTTACTTAAACGTTTTTTTCCTGTAATTTAGTCCACATATTTTTTTTTTAATAAATACAAAATAATATAATATTTAAAATTATCGTCTTTTTATATACAAAAAACATTTGTGTTGTTTTTGGATGAATGATAAAAATATCAATAAATATTAAAATCCATAATCTATTATAAATAAAGAGTTAATAAATAAAGTGGATATTTTAAATTGAAAAGTAAATTTCAATGAGAATATTTGCATCTGCTTACATCGATTTGTCACCAAAAAAATTTGTAATTTTATTAAACCATTGCATAATTACAGTTATTTATAAATGATAGATTATTATGACGATAAGATAACTATTTTCCATAACCCTTGGGAGTCTCAGGGCGCGCACTCGTAGCTCATTTAATTTATTAATCCCGCTCGCGCCGGCTGGCTCTCAGAAAATTCACCGTGGATAAAATATTCCGCAGCACACGCTGATCCGCAGCAGTTATCTGAGTGTTTTTTTTTATGCGTGGAAAGGGATAAAGAACGGCTGCCATTTATTCCCCGTTGGGGCAGCTTGAGCTGTTTTGGTACGTCAGCTGAGCGAGCGCCCAGCCAGCACCTGTCGGTCGCTAATAATGAGAGGAGGTGGGTGAGTGAAAGAGGAGTCGGGCCCAGGGTCATGAATTCAGGCTCGTCAGCCTTTTCGCCCCACAGGTGAATAGTTTTTGCCCTCGCACCGCGTTTTAACCTTGCCTCGTTTTTAAGGGATGCTTTTTTAAACGCGCGGTGGTATTTTCTCATGATTTTCCGCGCTCCTTCTCTTCACAGTTAAGAGCGGCCTTTGTTTATTTTCTCCACGCTGAAGCTGCTTTTTGTCTGCTAGCTGACTTTCTGGGAAAGACCTGGCTCGTTCACAAATTTAGGCACGGCCTCTCCTGAATGTTTTACGACCCCAAAAGGAGCAGAGGTTTTTGCCATACGCGGGTATGGCTAATTGAAAAGTCTTGCTGCTCTAATTAAAGGGGTGGAAAAAACAATAGCCACGTGTTTTCGTATCAAAGTCACACTTCTCTGCATATTTTACTGAGAAACCAGCTGGAAATATTTTTTTTTTTGTCAACGGGGATCGAAGGAAAAATAGCCGCGGTCGACTGACTTCTTTGCTCTGACGCGTGCATGGAAACTTTTCCGATCTGTTCAAACTTTGCTATCTTTTCTTCTCTGCTGGGCATCACCGGAATGCCAAAATTCAAACGGGGACACTTGTCAAAAGTTTTCTTTCCGTGTTTGTAAAAAGGAAGCGGCAGCAGACGCATTTCAGCCTCTCTGTCGTCTCGTTTTCCCCTAATTTGTCTCTTTCCGTGCGACAAAAAAGCGAATCTTTCTGGCAGCAGCCAAGTTAAAGAACGAGCGAAATTCAATTTACACTCGGCTGGAGAACGAACGCTAATTTGGAGATAGTTAATTAAGGCATTTTCCTTGGAGACCGCTGAATTTGAGTTGACATTTATATCAGCAAGGAGACGCGCTTATTATTTTGATTTTGGAGAGGAAGAAGATGCTAAGTAGAGTTTGCCAATTTATATATTAGTAATTTATAAATTGGCACCAAAGCAACGCGTTTACGTTTGACAAATAATTTCAAACGATAGAGCGAGAGGATACAATTTTTATCCGATGAAGGAAATGAGATATTGGATTGGGCTCAAACAAAATATTTTATTTGTCGTATGAATTGTTTGCCATACATTTCAATTTTTATGAGGAGCATTTATTACAACAAACATTAGATTTTCATAAATTTTTAATCAAAACTAGAATGTTTCTTTATTTTTCCAAATAATTCGGTCATTCATTAATTCTTCCAAAGCACAAGTTAAACAATGGATATTCTGAATTTTTAATGGTATATAAAGACAAAAATAATACAATATTTTTTTCTTTTTTAATTTCTAGCTCTTTCTGTTAAATTTATGCATAATTCTTTTTACTGTTTTTGAACTGGTGAAACATTTTAATTGAAAATACATAAATAAAAATAAATAACGCTTTTATTTGCTCAAATATTAATACCATAATAAAATTGAACTTCCTTGATAGAGGCCAAAATAATTATATTTAACTTCAACATTCATCCAGAAACTTCTTGAAACCGGTTGGAATTTTCTATTCAGGTGTGCCGCGACACCCCTCGAGCCGATTCCCATATCAGCGACAAATTTATGCAAATGAGCGGGCGCCAGGTGCTGCATGCGCTGACCGGCGGCACTGAATGCTACACACGGGTGAGTTACTGGTGAAAAGTTGGTGCACCTTTGCTGGCTGGCAAAGGGCGGATTCGGACGGGGTTGTAGCGGGAGGCGCCCACCCACCCACACCTCTTTTCAGGGGCAGCCGCCGCCGCCGCCGCTTCACATTTACTCGCTCACACACACACACATATATATATCGAGCTCTGCAGCAAAATGAGGGGGTTTCCATGGCTACGGGGTGGCCCGTTCGCTGCGAGTCTGCAGTGGCGGCGGCGGCTGCTGCTTAGGGGTGCATGCGGTGCTTTCTGCTAAGGGGTTGCTTGGTTACTGGCCCTTTGCCGTCGCCGACGTTTCTACCACCTTCCGACGATCTTCTCTGCTGTTCTCGCCTTTTCCACCCACAGCGAAGCTCACAAGGGCTCACTTTTGTAATGAATTGGCCTTTTCTGCCAAAATTTCGCGCCCTCCCGCCCGACTCTCCT